GGGAAATATGTCCTCCGAAAGAGGTCTGTTGAAGAGTATACTCACAGGCAAAGCGATTGACTCCGCACACCGATTGATGAAGAAAGGTGACAGACGATCTGGACCTGCTCCTTTCGAAGTGTCGATAGAAACCAGATTAGCAAAAACATCTTGCCGAGAGAAGTTGTAGACGGTCCCGTTCAAGTCGTAATACGGCAAATTGCTCAAGTACGATTCAGTCAAAGTTGGTCGGTTATTACTTTGCACACTTCGAAAGAACGCCGAGAACAGATTTGCCGATTCTGATGGAGATTCAGCTGCCTCACCTTGGTAACGAAGATGTCGGGGCATTCCGTTGGATCGCTTACGGGTCTTCACATATTGCCAGAATTGTTGGGGGTCCTGTTTCAAACTTGCTTCAGTACGATGAATGTAGCAGCGAAAGCATTGTGCATGCAAAGAGTTATATTCGCTCTCTAAGTCACGCAGCTCAGCCTTATGCTGTTCATTCCTAGACCGACAGTAACGCTTCCTTGCCCTGCGTAGACGATTTCGCAGCCGTTGCAGTTCATTGTTCCACCATGGTTGTTTCTTCCTGTGGGTGTCGATCCGTTGTTTTAGAGGCACAACTTCGCTGATGATTCCATAAAGCTTGTCGTAGAATATCGATACCGCTTCGTCGACACTGCAACCAATTAGAAGATTCACCCATCCGACGTCCGAAATCATTGAGCTGAAAACTGCAAAATCACATCGCTTGAAGTCAAAATCTAACGGATCAGTTGCTCGGGAAATTTCACATTCGCTTGCAGTTTCAATCACAAGCACCAATGGTTTATGATGTTCATCAACACGCAGTAGCGGTGACGGGGGCTCCACAAGCTCGAGTACATTGATATCAGTAGAGAAAACCAAATCTAGTATCCTTCCATTCGCATTACCATAATGATTCAACTGATGCAGACCATTAGCGATGAACGATTCAACCACAGTGAACTCCTGCTCAGAAGACGTATTTGTAGGTAGCAAACATCGCAATTCTTCATCATGGTCCCATTCAAGAAGGGTAGATTGTAATCACCAACAACAACAACCAAACCACGATCGCCCGCTTGATCCATCAGTCTTTGAACACATGAACAGTGTTGTCCATACAATGCATTGTCGCTGTTGGGAGGGAGATAAATACAACAAACGAAGAGTTCAAATGTAGGCAGCTTGATCGGAACGATTATTGGCTCCAGACACTCGGTACCAGCAATCGAAACAGCGGCACTATTCAATGCATTACGGACGCCGACCAAAACACCACCACCTCGTCGAAATGGGCTTGTTGTGGCGTTGCGATCACAGCGATAGATTGTATAGTTGTGTGATAATTCAGAATTTGAAATATCAGCACCGAGCCAGGTTTCGGTGAAAGCTATCACATCGTAGTCAAATTGGGATGGTGCTAGCAGTACTTGGTTTGTTTTGGTGCGTAACCCACGTACATTCTGGTAGTACAGCGTGGACGTACAATGTATATTGTTAGCGAATTGCTGCTGTCTATCAGTGGAGTCTGGATGTAAAGGAGTGGTTGTGTTTCGGGACTGTGTTGTTGTGGTTATTGCCATATCAGTTGAACAGCTGATCATCTGTGAGGCTGCACCGATATCTAGGGCGCCCAGTGAACTACTGTGTTGTGGGTCCGAAGCGAAAAGTAGGCCGATCCGACGATGATTGCTTGGACGAAATACTATTCCTCGTTGCCACGTCGATCCAAAGAGGGCTTGTTCCTGCAGCTGCAAACCAATTCCGACTTTGAAGGAAACAAAAGTAAGTTCGTTAAGATTTTTGCCTTTGGGAACTAACTGTTCTCAGTACAGACATTAAAACATGGATGAAAACAACCCTTCAAGATGACTGGAACGTGGGTTACAAAAAGTGGACCACGTGACATCTTCAAATTGAAGGACACTACGAATCGACGGAAACGGCAGATCTTATCTCGGCTTCAATCTGGACACACCCGAGTAACCCATAATATGAGCAGCGCTACCTCTTTTCGGAAGTGGCGCGACGCTTGCAACACTATAATGACAGTCGTCAACTGCTCCTGCTTCCAGAACATCCCGGTTCACAACGGAATCCCGGACAGTATACGCAATGCCCTGTCTAATGATCCATCCACAGAAGCTGCTCTAATAGATTTTCTTAAGATGCTGGATTGTTCGATAAAATTTAATCACCGACCCCCTATTCAAAATAGCAACGCACCGAACACGGACCCGATTGACTTTAGACTGGATACCACACAACGATTATCTCATTACCCCCTGCCGTCCCCGACAAACAACGCAGAATAACAACGAATCACAAACGTACCCACTATGTACCAAGGGAACACCCTAAGCACACCTATACCTAGGAGAACCTCCTCAGGTTTCACCGAAAATTCTAAACTACGTTACTAGGGTAGACCACTTCAGGGGCTTTCGGAAATGAACCAGCCTACGGCTAAAAATCTCCTAATAAAAGAGAGAACAAATATCCTAATCGAGCATCATCCTGTAGTTTAACGAATATGTTCATAGAATCTACAGAACAAGACGTCCGCCAAGAAGATCACCAAACTCGGTTTGGATAATGATCTCCGAATTGTCCTTAGAATAGTTCCCCGAGCATCTCCGGCATGGCACAAAAATTTTCCTGGAAGATGTCCAAACTTCTCGTAGAAAGAAAGATCTCCGAACATTCCCCAGATGATTGCTGAAATCTCGAATAAATGCGCCTAGAAATCTATGAAAAAATCTTGTTACTTATTTGGATTCAGACATTCTCACGGAATATTGGAAGATCAATAAGTCTCTATTTCAGGATTTTGAACCAACATTTACATCATCCCATAATTTCTTCTTTGAATGTTCCATTAGGTAGGGGAAGTGGCTCTAATGTTGGCCTTTGGATCTAAGATTGGGCCCATCGCAAAAAATCTGCTATTTATCAATTTTATCTAGATGAACGCGTCATTTGGAATGGCACAAATTGATATTTTTGGTCGCTATTGAAAATTTAGTCGAAATTAGGGGCCGACATTACATCCATTTCCCCTATTACTAAAATTCCCTGACGTAGGACTGCGTCTGTGATTTCTATATGGAGGTACACTTTGCGAAAACCAAAAATGGAACATGTAACGAAATTTTGAAAGATTTGGAACGTTAATAACTCAGCTGCCTCTGGACCAATTTCAATAATTTTATCATCAATCGATCAGAAATATTTCTACGCATCCATAGCAATACTTCTGACAGCTGATATTCAAAAAGAAACTACATTGTCCAAAAGCGCCGAAATAACTAACAAATCAACCAATTCCGTACATGCATATGCTGCTTCCCCAACACAGTCATCAGATAATCGTTTCTAGACGAAACATGTCGACGTAGCATTTCTGCTTCCCCAACACCGTCATCAGAGAGTCGTTAGTAGATGAAACAAGTCGAAGTGGCATTCGCCTCCGATCTTCGGGCCTGTGCGAATAGGGATGATGCGTAACATTTTGCACACTCATCGCCATCACACTTGGAAGCAGGGGTGCAAGTTATTTTGATCGATTCTCTTCATCTACTTTCTGTTTCGTTAATAACTCGACGGCAAACACATTCATTGATACGTTTGTTGTTCTGGATGAGAGAAGAGCATAGCAGAAATAGTGCGAAATAGGTTAGTGACACCATGGTCATCAAAAGAGGAAATCGATAAAGAGAATTGACTTTCACCCCTCTGCTTCTAAGCCCCTTAATTCAGTCGTCGTTATAGCAATGAAAACTAGCATCGTACTGCTTTTGGTTCTTGGGTTACACTTGCTGGTTGCAAGGACCACCAAAAATATGAAATTACACCATTTTCTAGGAATTAAAGATTAGCCAGCTACCGATATCCCTTCTTATTTCTACTCGTTTGATTTAGCACAGTAGAGAAAATAAATAAAAGTTCTAATTTATCTGAAACAGAATCATAAATTTTGTCGAAAAAAGTGTTAACCGTCTTTCTTTCTTTTTTAACTACTAGTTCGTTTATTTACTAGGCTCAGTCGTGTGTGACACTTTGCGGAGCCAAAATCAGTAATGTTTGATTTACATTTTAAATAGCAGTATTTCTAGGTTAGTATTTTGTACCAATAACTCGTGGCGGGCTCGAGGTTAATGGGTAACAATTTCGATTGGAAGGATCTAGGTAGGAAACTGGTTTCTGAAGCCTCCTTCAGATACTACTCTCGGACGGTTGACCAAATCCTGGCTGGGCAGGGAACCGTCTTTCTGCTACAGGCTAAGATTTACCAACTTGTTGAGAGAAGGAGTTTAACGAGAAAAACTAAAAAGAGGAGAAGCTTTAGCTGGGTGGACACTGATATTCTGCGGCCTTTCAACCTGTCGCAGACACCAGTTCAACCCCTGTCCAGCAGCAGATGGGCCGAGACTTTTGCGAGTGCCCAATCATTGAACCGAAGAACATGGGATTGTCCGGTCTAAATGCCATCTTCCAAAGGCTTTCAAGGCCCTTTTCAGGGTGACCAAGATTTTCCAAAAGATTTAAATTTTTGAACATGCCCCAACTAAAATTCATATCAAAAGGTTCTTTTCAGGGCAATCATAGTCATTCTAAAGAGTATAAACAGAGAGAACCCAGCTCAAATTCCATTATTATATAAGACCACGTAGTACTACCATTGCGTAGAACCCCATAGGGCTGTCCCTTGTAGTTTTTCAATTTGTCCGGGCGGGAAAAGATCTCTGAATATCTCGATTCCTAGTAAATATCGGAACTTCCTCAAGATCCGCGAGAATTCTCTGGGAATATTTCAAAACTAATAGATACTTAAGCGACCGGTCAGCCGATGATTCCGTATCTTCTTCTGAGAGATCTCCGAATTTTCCATAGATGTGCTTTGAACTTACCAAACTTCCTCCAGTTTTCTCCGGCATCCTCTTCAATTTTCTAACCAGAAGTCTTCTTGCCATTCTTGCATATTCCAGGACAACGAAGATGTAAGTCTGCTGTGCACCAGTCTGATCACTGACGAGATCCGGAACTCGACTCCCCTGCGAAGCAACGTGGTGCTGGACGAAGATCGGAAACAGTTCAAGGATCTGCAAATCTCCAACATTCTACCCAAGGTACGTCAATCGACATTCAAATAATCAAATAAATCATGGGTGATGAAAACTGAATCGGAAATTGCTTGCAGGACACCATCACCATGGAATGCGAAGAAAACAAAGAAAACATGGAAACCATCAACGAAACTGTCTGAAAATCAGAAATCATTCTTATCGGCTCTGAACCGATGCACGCACAAACACCCACAAACACGAGAGAAAAGAAGAAAAAATGGTATTTGCATAGTGCATTTCTTCCGCTTGCTACTCAATAGCTACTAGGTACTTCTAGTTATATTATATTTTATGTTCACCCATTGACGTGTACGTACGGAACCCTCGTTATTCCTTAAATTTACTTCAAACTTCAGAGAAACTTGATGCTTCAAAATCGTACGAGAGTACCATGACTTTACGGCGGGAGAACCTCTATGATTGTTGGATATTATTCTCTGTTGCAGTAAAAAGCTGTTTTATAAGTATAAAAAAATGCAATTTTCAGAGTAACTCTTAACTTAGTTGTGCGTTGTGTGTATTTACTTCGAAATGTATCCATTATTTGAAACCCTCCAAGATAACTAAAAGGGAAATCGAACGAAATTCTTTGAAAAAAAAACAATATTACGAGGGGATTAAAAGTGAATGCTTCTTGTGCAAATTAAAGGGCTATCTGAAGATCGCATCGATTCATGGTGCGACCATGTAATTTTTCTGAGGATAGTTTTTTGGCTTCTCTGTGCTTGTCACGCCAAACAAAACAAAACTCAGTGTGTACAATTTAACAAACAATAATTTATTTCATTACTTCACTTGTCTACCGAATCATAAATCAAATAAGCAATAGGTGTCACAAAACGTGTATTCTCACTACTGACGACTCTAAGATCTCCACTACCAACATCCGGCGATCTATTTCGATTGCTGCTACACCAAGCCCTACGCAACTCCGTGCCCATTCCCGCTATCCGAACGGTCAGTTTGATTGCTTTACCTTGCGACATTCGTATTCGTTTGAAGTGGCAATCTTGCGTTCGCTGTTCCCTTTCGCCGTCCTCCGACAGTCTTAGTGGTATCGATTTACTTATCACAGTTTCCTCACAGCAGCCGATCTCGATGATGACTGAAGCGTTACACGGCTCATCCATCGACAGCCTGTTCACTCCCGTGTAGATCCCCATTCCATATAGGTTCAGATCGCGAGATGCCAGAATCATTCCAGAAATGTATGGCATCAGATTTATCTCCGTTCTGCTCCTCTCTTCTTCGTGAATTTTCCAGGCTAAATTTTGCCGGATTACGACTATTTCACCTCTCTGCGATTCCGGTTGATGTTCCACCCACCGATCGATGCCTTCCAGTAGCTGCCGGTTCGAGCATTGAAGCGTTTGTAGATCTAGAATTTTCCTAACCTGAGAACTGCAGAGATGAAGAAATGCGGGATGTTCCAACACTGCCACCACGTCGGCACCTAACTGCTTTGCGCAAATATCTCGCAACTGGGGATACGGCTCATTGAAGAACATCTGAATCCACTCGCCCAAGTCGGTATTCTGGATCATGAAGTTCTCACACCTCACCCGGAGATCGTAGAGTTGGTACTTCGCCGCAGCGTAGAACAGCTGCGCCACATTTCGCTGGCCGATGTCGCAAATGTCGCAATAGATGAAGTACAACACGTCCAGAAAGATGTCCGGTTCGATGTCTGGCACGACGACCAACGGATAGTTACGATGGATCTTGATGAATCGCTTGCTGAAGGTCGCTTTGAAGACTTCGCTCGAACAGGTCAGCAGCAAACGGTGGGCGTAGATTAGCTTCCTTTTTCTACCCACTAGAAACTTTACATCCGCCAGGTACGGATTGTTCACCATCCTGTGTAGTCGATCCTTGCTGTAGTTGTAGGACATTTTTTTCTACCGAGAGGTGCATCGCTCGAGTGCGATATAGTGACTGGAAATGCGTGGTGCGGTAGATTTGTTTTAAACTGGAATTTTCGGATACCTACCGAGAATAGGTAGAAGGTGCTCTGTAAGTACCTGCATGCTACCAGAAGTTTCCTTTAGTTATGTTTAAATTTCGGTGGCACCTTACCATGGGTTTTCCGTGCGCACCGAGCTCGCACCGTCTGCATAATATTATTGTACCGTTTTAGGGCGATCTCCAGGGCAAAAATAATGATCGTAATCACCATTGCCCAACCCATCAGTTGCAGGCTGAAAATGGCATCGATCATCGAAACCGGTGCGAACACGCTTTCTCCGATGCAAGGTGGCTTCCGCTGGTAGTGGATTGCGATTTGCCGCTGTTGGAATCCGAGTTCACGCAGTTTCAGCAATCTGGAAGTGGATTGATCGCAACTGAAATGTGTTTCCAAGCAACTAAAAATGACTGAAGATTTAATCGAAATCGTATGAAGTTTAAGTTTTATCATTTCGAATCGAATTAAATCGTAAGGCTTGTCTAACCTATTTTCTTATTACAGATGCGAGTCAAGTGATAATAGAACCTTAAAAAATACATACCCAAATTTCACGTGTTCTTTAAAAGGAGAATCCTTAGCAACAGTGTAGTAACCGTTCAGCAGCAGGGGATGTAGCAGATTGATGGCTTGCAGGTTGCACTTTTCATCCTCCCGGTAGTGGTCGACCATGTAGCGGTAGATCAGATTTGTGTCCCCGTGGAAAGCGTTCAGGCCTCGGCGTATTCTTTCGGTTCCCTCCGATATCCCTATGAACCCACCACTGAAACTCTTGAACTGCATGTAGGTGGAAGCATTCTGTAAATTAGTGGTAGAGCTAATGTTGTAACAGATCTTTGAGTTTGCCGTAGAATGAAAGAGGAACCTCCTAAAAGCTGGAGTTGAAACTCCAAAACTACACAAACCCTTGAGAACTCCGGAAAACTCCAGAAAAATTACAAGAAGTGTCTGAAGTCTCGAAATTACAACCATTGTCCAAACTGTTAAATCTTCAAGGACATCGATCGCTCTAATAATGTTCAGAATCCTCGAAATAACAGAAGCTTTTGACGCATCCGGAACTGCAAGAATTCTTGGAATTCCATAATTTCCCGGTTCTACGGTACTTCAGGACCTTTTTATAGAAAGAACTTGTGGAAACGCGACTTCAAGGAATAAAGAAAGGCGCGGCGTTTTAGTAATGATTTCCATACCGCATTATCACTTTCACTATGACTTTGAACTATAACAGATACGTATTTCGTTTACTACTTGCAAACTTCTTCAGTCATAGACTGAATACACTGAAGAAGTTTACAAGTAGTAAACGAAATACCTATATGTTATAGTTCAAAGCGGTCGGCTGAAGAACAACAAAGCAACTGGTGTAGATCAACTACCAAGTGAGCTATTAAAATACGGTGGTGAAGCACTGGCTAGAACGCTGCACTGGGTAATTGCCAAGATTTGTGAGGAGGAGATATTACCGGAGGAGTGGATGGAAGGTGTCGTATGCCCAATCTACAAAAGTAGGGCGACAAGTTGGATAGCTGCAACTACCGCGCGATCACACAGCTGAGCGCCGCCTACAAGGTACTCTACGAAATTCTATGCCGCCGCCTGTCATCATTTGAGACCAAATTTTCGCGATTCGGCAGGTTCTGCAGAAAAGCCGCGAACACAACGTGCCCACACATCATTTGTTCATCGATTTCAAATCCGCATACGACACAATCGATCGAGATCAGCTATGGCAGATTATGCACGAGTACTGATTTCCGGATAAACTGACGCGATTGGTCAAGGCGACGATCGAGTGATGTGCGTTGTTTGAGTATCGGAGACACTCTCGAGTCCCTTTGAATCTCGAAGGGGGTTACGGCAAGGTGATGAACTTTCGTGTCTGCTATTCAACATCACGTTAGAAGGTGTGATCAGAAGAGCTGGGATAGACACGAGATCAGGGATGGAAAATCATTTACATTCATTTCGTGCATTGATTTACATTCATTTGCCTCTAACTTTTTTCATCAACAGAAGTCTGTAAAATAGTGTTCAAAGCTTTTGTTGGCTTTGATATTAGCTACATCTTTAGTAAACAACTCAAATATGTGTCTCTTATGCATGATGAATCAGAGCGATAAGAACCCACCAACAATGCATTCACTGAAAAACAATAACATGTTCTGCCAGCTCTATTTCGTTATGCATAACATATACAGATTTTAGTTATTTACAAAACTTTTAGTTAATATCAAAAGCTTCACACATCATTTTACGGTATTCTGTTGATGGAAAAAGTTAGAGGCAAATGAATGTAAATGATGCACGAAATTAATGTAAATGATTTTCCATCCCTGGGCACGATCTTCAGGATGTCCATCCAGCTTCTTGGCTTCACCGATGACATGGCACGGAACTGGGTGACGGTGGCGGAAACGTACATCAGACTGACGGCTGAAGCTAGGCGTATTGGACTTGACATCAACGCATCAAAGACAAAATACATGAAAGGAAGAGGTTCAAGGGAAGACAATGTTAGCCTCCCACCCTGAGTTCAGATTGACGGTGACGAAATCGAGGTGGTCGATGAGTTCGTGTATTTGGGCTCACGAAGTTGACTGTCTACAAGATGCTGATTAGACCGGATGTCCTCTACGGCCACGAGACCTGGACTATGCTCGTGGAGGACCAACGCGCCCTTGGTGTTTTCGAAGAGAAGGTGTTGCGAACCATCTACGGTGAAATGCAGATGGATGATGGAACGTGGAGGAGGCGAATGAATCATGAATTGCACCAGCTGCTGGGAGAACCATCCATCGTCCACATTGCAAAAATTGGGCGACTACGGTGGGCTGAGCACGTCGTAAGAATGCCGCACGACGACCCAGTGAAAATGGTTCTAGAAAGCGACCCAACAGGAACAAGAAGAAGAGGCGCGCAGCGGGCAAGGTGGATCGATCAAGTAGAAGGTGACCTGCGGACCATTCGCAGACTACGAGGCTGGCGAACTGTGGCCATGGATCGAGTAGAGTGGAGACGACTTCTTCGATCAGCAGAGGACAACAAGGCCTTAGCCTGATTGGTAAGGTAAGTAAGTATAGTTCAAAGCGATAGTGAAAGTGATACAAAAGTAGTAGAATTAAAAGGAAAAATCGACGGAAAAGCTATACAATTCGACAGTGAGCATGCATAAGGGCCTATACTACCCATAATCGCATATCTGTCCCATATGGATAGGAAATCAAGCAAAGATGGGACTGATATGCGATTATGGGCAGTATACGCGATGATCGATTCTCTTCGTCGATTTTCTCTTTCGTTAATAACTCGCTAGATTGAACGTTTATCGGTGCGTTTGCTGTTGCTTTTGATAGCCAATGCAACCTGTTACTTCTCTGCATTGAACAAATTATAGAAAATTGTTTCGCTTAGCTGTAGCAATGCAAAGAGAAAATCGATGAAGAGAATCGATCATCGCGTATTCGCCCTTATGCATGCGAAACAATTTTCTAGAATTTTTTCAATGCAGAGTTGTAACAGATTGTATTGGCTATCAAAAGCAACAGCAAACGCACCGAGAAACGTTAATTCTAGCGAGTTATTAACAAAAGAGAAAATCGACGAAGAGAATTGATCATCGCGGTTACGCCCTTATGCATGCTCACCTGTGAATTAGACTTTTATTCTCTACAGTTCTACAGACTCGTGTTCACTTTAAGACGTAGCGTTATCAACTGTCAAAATCCGTAGGGTGGTTATCAATCCGCTTTCATTGGATAGGGTGTACACGGTGACCGGATGCTTGACTTTCGTGCGGCCATCGTCAGTCGGGTGGCTGCTAAAATCCTTATTGTAGATTTTTTCACCAAGCTTGATAACTTCATATGTTTCTTCGTAAGGACGCTTCCAACGAAGACATGACTGCAACTTTTCAAACCACTGTGTAGAAAGATGGTAGACTTCGCATGAGGAAGTAATTTTGGACCCCGTTATTGTTTGTGTTATTCTTCAATGACGCTGCATCTACCCTTGGCCACAAGTGCAAGCTCGTATATGCTGATGATCTAAAAATCTATTTGATGGTACGCTGCATCGAGGACTGTTTTCACCTGCAAATGTTGCTCAACATGTTCGTTTAGTGGTGCCGCTCGAACAAGCTTGTCATCAGCGTCGCGAAATGTCATGTGATGATGTTCAAAGACCCGATAACTTATCAATACCACATCGATGATACTGTTCTTAGCAGAGTGGTTCAAGTGACGGATCTTGGTCCCATTATGCATCGATTATTTCCAAGGCTAATCGTCAACTTGGCTTCATCTCTAAGATTGCCAAGGATTTCACGGATCCACACTGTCTAAAAGCATTGTATTGTTCACTCGTTTGTATCCGTCGTGTCCACGTTTGATTTTGGTATGTCCACACCTCAATTTGTGAATAGAGTACTCATCCCCTAGGTATAAAAGTCAAGATCACAGGTATAAAAATGAAACTACAATGTGTTGAATCGGAACCTACCTAACTAATAAAAACCAAAAATTTAAGTAAACTAAAGGAGAAAAATCTATTCAACTCTCTAATAAGGAAAATCCCAAAGGCTTGGTTGCCATCATAATGAATTAATGAAATTGGGTTGTTAGCGGAATGCTTAAATAAAACAGCAAAAGAGTAGGTAGGGTAGGATTCAACACATTGTAGTTTCATTTTTATACCTGTGATCTTGACTTTTATACCTAGGGGGTTTGATTTTGATAAGTTCTTTAGTGGGAATGACACTGATGAAGGCTGCACATTGTAGTCGAAATACGTATCTGTCATGGATACCAAAATTAATTAAGTGGAATTAAATGGAAGATAACCCCTCTTTTGCTGTTTTAAATAAATAAATGATTAATCGCTTTTGGAGGCCGAATTTCCGCAAACGCTTCGTGGAGTTGTCTGGCGAAAGCTGTTCGATCGATGCCTGTCGTTGGAGGGTCGAAAAACTCTCCAGGTACTCTTAGCGCCTGGCCATACACCAACTCAGCAGTAGAGCATTTTAGATCCTCGCGGAAGGAGCTGCGTAATCCTACTGTGTTACATGACTTATAACGAATATACGTTGTATACGAGTACCCCGAATACAACGTATGACTCGTCTAATTTTCCATAGCATTTGCAATGTAAAACTAGACGAACTATACGTTGTATTCATTCACGGTACTCGTATACAACGTATATTCGTTATAAGTCAGCTAACACGGAGTACCATAGGTAACTGGTCACTCGAATGAACCACTTTGTCAAGCAGTTTATCAAGACTTTCTACCAGCGATTTCACAAAACTGGACCAACAAATTACAATTTTATTCTGAAACGCACCACTTTTGGCTACTTTTCTCTTCTATGAAATGGTTAAATTTGCTTCTTTTCGCGTGCAGTCCAACCCTGCGCCCAACTTAGATGTTCGTGCGTGGTCCTACCCCTCGCAAAACCAGCTGTCAAACTCGTCGTCCCGCGCTCCCAACATAGAAGAAAAATACCGCTTCCGGAAATCATCAGTTTTTCATTCGTCCGACCGAGCGGTCGAGAACACGTTTCTTTCATGTGAAATATAAGTAAAAATACAGTCCATTTTCGTTTAATTAGTTCGCCGCGTTTTATTGCGTTCCGCCTGCTCTCTCCCGAAAACATTGGACCTTCGAGCCGATATTTACGAAACCGCTATGGAAGCGATTCGGAAACGTCGCAATGTGTTTTTTCAGCGCATGAAATGGGAGCAGAATAACGCCAGTGCGGTCGAAAGAAGAAATCCTCCTTTCGGCGAGATTCAGGAG